CTGGACTTTCTCAACAGCTGCCACTCTGCAATCCAGTTCATTTGAGAGAAGGAATCCAACTCGAAAATACCTTCTATGGCAATTCAACTAACAAAACGTGAAGAGAATGGGACACTGGGGTTAGGAAAAGTGTTGTACGTGCCTAGCCATCGGGCTAGGGTTGCTTTCGCTAACTTACACCGTCTCTGGCGTAGGCGTGACATCCGGCTGTCAACCAAGGGACGTGTATACTGCTCAGCAGTTCGCTCCGTCCTTCTCTATGGCGGTGAGACGTGGCCACTGAGAGCGGAAGACATGAAGAGATTGTCTGTTTTTGACCACAGATGTTTACGATCTCTTTCTCGCGTTAGGTGGTATAATAAGGTAAGTAATTTTGACGTTAGGCATAGTGTTGGGCAGAGAGGGAAAATCACTCGAAGAGGCTATAAAGTTACATAGATTGAGATGGTTAGGTCACGTGCTGCGCATGCCTAACCATCGCCTCTCCCGACGGACGGGCATTACTAGCTGATATAGGTGCAGGTTGGAAAAGAGTAAGTGGTGGCCAAACAAAAACATGGCATCAATCCATGAAATCCCTGACAGTTAAACTGAGTCAGGTAGGGAGGGAGATGCAGACTTCCGGGTTGGGGCCCTCGGGACTCTAAGAATCAATGGCTGGAGACAATAGGTGACATGGCTCAAAATCGTTGTCAATGGCTTACGCAGATGTATTCAGTCTCTTTAACCTTCATATTCCTTTCTACCATTACTCATTCCGTTTCACTCTTATACTTATCTAAATTCTATTGATTCTCTTCACTTATTTCCCTGTCTACCTTTGTGTGCTATTTGGAACGTGGCAACTCAAACTGCTGCACTTCGGTGCCAAGTTCTATGTTGAATCCAGCAGCAGCAGCCATCGATTGCCTTTCTCGACGGGAAATGTTAGTTGACATAGGACGGATCAGGTTGGAAAAGAGCCCGTGGTCGTCAAACCAAAACAAGGCTTCATCCGTCAATGAAATCCACAACAGTTAGTTTAAGCCAGCAAACCAGTAACGTAGGAAGGTGTAGACTACCTGAATGGTTAGGGTCCTCGGGATGGTAAAAACCAATGAAGGCTGGAGAGAATCGCTGATATGGTTCAAAATCGTTCTCAATGTCTGGCGCACATGCATCCACTCCTTGTGACTTATAATATCCAATAAAACGATATTGTTCTTCCATATTACTATTTTTGCCTCTTTTTCTATTTATTATCTCTCTTTACTCTCCTCTCTTGCTTTGTGTGCTAAATGGAGGGAGAGTGGCAACTCGACCTGCTGCACATTTGTGCAAAGTTCTACGTTGAAACCAGTCAGTCAGATTATCTTAGTGATTGCTACTAAAAACACACGCCAAACATACACATGACATAGGAAAATTAGCTATTCCGTGCAATAAAAAAGAAAAGAAAACGTACCTTGCAGTAAATTGTTTACCAGCTCTCTTTGGTCTATACTCTGGATGCACTAGAAACAACATATGCGGGAAACCAGTACCAAAATATGCCCCATCTGTATGATGATGACGAGTAGATTTTGGTGTGTAAGTATCCTGACATCTAGGACAATAAATCTTGACCATAGCTTCACCAGGAACATCTGATAAACCGACTGGTAAGCATGGTTGACTTTCACAATAAACCTTTGTCACAAGAAAAGGAAAGAAAGATCATTATTAATTGGGGTGGGAGTGTTAGTGTAAAACTGAAAGTCATCAAACGATAAGTGGTTATCATGAGAGCATAACGCAACTGACATCTGCTATCCTTGACGTGGTGGTCTAGCTCCTATATCGCAATGATAGCGATTAGATTAAAATCAGTAACCGGCACAGTGCAAGATAATCACACAGTGCTGAATGTCTATGGAGAAAGTCGTAGTACTGAGAAATAGGGATATAACAGCAGAAAGGTCTTAACCCTCAGGTGACCAGCTTACCAGCTGTAAGGCATAAGAACTGAGTATCATAATTCCTGAATGTATATACCAAAAAAATTGTCACTAGGTGCAAGACTAACACCTAGAAGTGTTATTGGTAGACGTATATTTGCTGTGGATCACATCATCAATTTCAACAAGGCTTTTCAGACAGTAAATAGAGTGATAGTGGATTACCACAATATGCAGAAGTAGCAGTAATCCGATGGTTGAAGCCTAATTTATGTGTACTGAAGGATTTTGTGGTCCACCTTGCATTGCCTTGGTAATTTATTCTTTCTCTGCTTACTATTTTATCATTTGTTCCATCTTACCTTCCTTAGATTTTGTTCATCTTCCTAACACTTTACACAACCCACTAATTTATTTATCATATAGTAGTCGTGTTTCTTAGTTCAAACTTCACCGTTTTACCAGAATTTCACCCTCCATCATATCATATAGCATATCTTAACTACCCTTGTCATCACCATGAATCTTACTCACACCTTGCCAGTTTTATGTTGAACTATTTTGTTTTTGTCTGGACCGAATTTACAGTACATATGTATTTTTTTATTTTGATTATAGCTTGATTTCACACCGTATATTTGCTACAAGTATGAAATTTTCAGCATGTGATATCGGTAGCCCAAATTTTGCAGGTCGACCATTGATATCAGGTGTGCATCGGCAGGGGATCGAACCCCGGACCATGTGCATGGTCGGCGACAGTCCTAACCGCTGTGCCACCTTCTTAACCGTTTGTACTTGTATCTGTAATGAGTAATTAGGCCATGAACTACATCATTTATTTATTTATTAGATGGTTGCAGGCAATCGTCAAGAAGTCTTGGACCCAAGTTTCGTGCTTGCTGGCACTCATCAGCCAGTCAAACAACGTATATCTGCATTCTTGAAGGAACTCATATCTCTTCTAAGATTCGAATACGTGTCACCCATTGTTGCAGTCAGACACGTTACAACTGAGTTATACAGGACACACTATTGATCCACTGTAGGACTGTATTGGATACCCTGAGTGGACACTAGTTACTAAACTGTACACAAGTGTTAATTTAGCGCGTTTATTGGAAGATTTCGAGCAGACGAAAGAATGCTGAATTCACTTCATCCGGCAATATTCATTATTCATGCTTTTCAAAAATTTATAAAGAAACTAGTTTCCTATGAGATACCATAGTTCCGTCAAAATCGTTTAACCGGAATTAATTTGAAATAAATAATAAGATATGGTAGAAAAAATTATTCACTTACTCTAGGACAGTAACCAAAATCGCCTTGTTGCCATTTCGCTACCATAATGCAAATACCGCGGTTTGTCAAGATATATCTTGAATGTATTAAACCATAGAGCATTTCAGCAGCCTGTTCTATGAGATCAGTGTTCTCTGGATTATCAGAAGGGTCTACAAATATTTTAAAAAAATGGTGATGAATGACATGCAGAAATTGACCAAAAAGATCCAAATTCACGCTTACACTTGAAATCGCAAGACGACTTCAAACGTAAATCCAACATGAAGAGACTGGGGGATATATGAGAACAAGAGTTTAACTATGCTGTACTAACTGTATACACACAAACAGTCATACAGCGCATAGACAGACATTCAACTAACAAACAAAGAGAATCACTTATCCTGGCGCCCTAGTGGCGCATTCGGTTAGTTGTGTCGGCAGAATGCTCGCCAATCAAGCATGTGGTGTGAGGTTAGATCCCCAGCCAATTATCGACTCGTTACCAGGGTATAGTCTTATGGACTTAGAATATGCAGATGACATAGTCCTGTTAGGGGAGGATGCTGACAAAATCTAGCAGTCTTCTGAACACCTTGAGCAGCAATCTTCGTATGTTTGGCATGCGATTCGCCCCTGTAAAATGTAACATGCTGCTACACGACTGGACTACGTCAACTCCTAGCTTAGTGATAGGGAGTGAAGTGATAGAACATGTTGACCACTTCACCTATTTGGGAAGTTGTATCAGCACCAACGGATTGATTGGTGACGAAATCACAGCACGGACCCAAAAAGCTCGGGCTGCTTTCGCTAACTTACACCGTCTCTGGCGTAGGCGTGACATCCGGCTACCAACCAAGGGACGTGCGTACTGCTCAGCAGTTCACTCCGTCCTTCTCTATGGTGGTGAGACGTGGCCATTGAGAGCGGAAGACATGAAGAGATTGTCTGTTTTTGACCACAGATGTTTACGATCTCTTTCTCGCGTTAGGTGGTATAATAAGGTAAGTAATGTTGACGTTAGGCGTAGAGTGTTGGGCAAAGAGGGAAAATCACTCGAAGAGGCTATAAAGTTACATAGATTGAGATGGCTAGGTCACGTGCTGCGCATGCCTAGCCATCGCCTCCCCCGACGGGCAGGCTGGAAAAGAGTAAGTGGTGGCCAAACAAAAACATGGCATCAATCCATGAAATCCCTGACAGTTAAACTGAGTCAGGTAGGGAGGGAGATGCAGACTTCCGGGTTGGGGCCCTCGGGACTCTAAGAATCAATGGCTGGAGACAATAGGTGACATGGCTCAAAATCGTTGTCAATGGCTTACGCAGATGTATTCAGTCTCTGTAATCTTTCATATTCCTTTCTACCATTATTCATTCTGTTTCACTCTCATACTTGTCAAAACTCTATTGATTCCCTGCACTCATTTTCTTGTCTACCTTTGTGTGCTATTTGGAACGTGGCAACTCGAACTGCTGCACTTCGGTGCCCAGTTCTATGTTGAATCCAGCCAGCCAGCCAGCCAGCCCAGCCAATTTCACTAGAAAACCACAGTTAGTTAGCAATAAGCCCGTTGAAGAGGGAAGGTGTGAGTCTAGCATCCCTGCCCTGTCAAAATGAACACCTATGCTACTGAAACTTCAAGAGCTCACGCTTCAAGTCGTATGCCCCCCTCGGGAGAAAAGGGATAAAAATACGTTGTGCTGACTACTTTTTTTATTATGGCTGTTTAATTTATTCAAATGTGGTGTTTAGAGAATGAATCTTGGTGTAGAAACAACTTAACTCTTCCAGCTACCAATCTAGTCATAACAGTTATAATTTATTATATAAAATCTTGACACTGGCAGTATGTAATTGTATACCAGTTTCCTTATTGGATACATCACGTAAGGAAATAGTATTATTTAGTGGATGACATCTCCTGAATTGTCATTTAGTGGATAATACTGTTTCGCTGTTATAATTCAAACAGCGAAGGTTTAACAGGTGACAAGTTGCAAATCAAAATTAACCACAGAAACAAATATACTAGTAAATTTATATTTTTCGTAGCTAGTTTTCGAGTTACATTCCTAATCCTTAGTGACTTGCCTTAATTTTACGAAACAAGCTAACATACATCCAAGCGGCTGTGAAAACAATGCATTCATATCATGTCACTATCTGATCATTATTAGCTTTTTGCATAGTTGTGTTATTACATCAAGGATGCCAAGTGTAAGAAATACATCAACAGGAAAAACGTTGCAGTAACATGAGTGCATAGGGGTTCGCAATTTGACTGAATGACAATTTGCTAATAAGTACCCCAAAACTTAACCTCCACAGTTCTCACAAAGACAAGAAATGACAGCAAACTTCAGGTGTTAGAAGCCGTCATGCTTACCAACTCTTTGATGGCCGCAAGGCAGCAGAGAGTGATTGTTAACAGTCTCTAATAGATACATACAGCTCAAAATGATCGTTTAAAAACAAGTGATTTGTAGAATCTCTTCAAAAGATCACGAAATAACCTACCACACAACGGCGAAACCAGTGGAAGAAGTTTATGCATTATCATTTAAACAAAGTATTTGTAGAGCGTAGGAACTGAGAAGTGCTTTGAAATAATAGCATAACAGCTTTCAGAAAAATAGTATTATCATTTAAAGTATTTGTAAAAGTGCAAGAAAAGAAACTATAGCTTGGACGCTATTAACCATAAGTTTGATTTAGATGGCTAGAGCTACTGACTTGCATGACTTCAGAGTCCACCTAAGGAGCAGTAGCTCACAAGATGATATTCTAAAAAAACTATCCATTATGCCGTAGTCACATAATAAGCTGACCACATTCAATTTTGTCCAGTCTGACAGAAATGTGTTCTATAGAAAAGGCTGGAAACGCATTTGCGATACGTTTCCGACTGATTGCAGGTTATGTTAAAACGATATTCACCTCATCTAGATGCTTCAGACCAATAATAAGATCATGCAGTCTTCCAACTTAGGTGGTTGCTCTCGTTCATAATACTAACATAGACCATCCGAAATTCGCAGGACTCACACAAATCACTCAGCCACGTTAACATTATCGACATACTGAGACAACATACCAAGGTATTAATCACTAGTCATCGGTAGACAACCACACTTTTTTGGGCCTAGATTAGCCTAAAAACCAAAAACTTAGCAAAATGAAGTGAGATCCACGACTGCACTTAGGAGGCGTAACAGACAACAGTTCGATCTAATAATATACTAGTTTTGTATAATTCACTGGAGAACAAGGTAAGTAAAATGTCTGTCTAGTGTTCAGTCAATTTTGGATGAATCTAAAATAACCCACTGCACATAGACAAGAGGACAAACACAACACGAAGAGAATACGTATTCCGAAAGTAATATGAAAAATGTTGATAAAAAATCTTACCAGTTTCTAAATCCAGAATCATATCGAGGGCATCACGGTATTCAGGAACTTGTTCGGATAATCCAGTCAAATTGAATCTGTCTTGAATATAGTCTTCTTCAACTTCGCAGAAAAACTCGTTTCCACGCAAGCCACAGAACCACGAAATCCAAGAAATTTCGTCACTACTACTCATAATGAACAACTGCTTCTGATGTGATTAATATCGATCGGTCAGTTGCGCTAACACAGAGTAACCTGGAAGCATTCATGAAAATTTAAGTAAAAATGAATACAGTGAAAATTTTAGTGAATATTTATGTCAGCCCCAGTTTACTAATTCAACACGTACAATATTTTGGTGCTACGTGAACATAGCTCGACTGTGTGTGCCAATTCAGATAATTAACACCGTACGGGGAACGGATAATTACCCTTGCATTGCACCAAAATTGAGTCCTCATTTCAGCATAATTTACTTGGTATATCTATTGGAAATCGGACATGATGCGGACTACTTGATACAATCAACCATGAAGCATCGGGAAGCATTTGAAATCTCCCCAACCCAAGCCGTCAGTGTCTAACTGCTTTCTTGAACCCTTATTTATGTCTCACATCAGTGGACATATTCAATGAGAAAATTTCGGAAAACCAAACATATGCACATCATATAAAATAAGGACTTACAGTATGCAAATAAGAAACACAAACGATAGCAGAAATCTCACCTAGCACCGTAGAAGATGCAGTTTACCTCAGAAATAAAATCAGCGACAAAATTGAAACCCGCAAACAAAGTGAGCGTTGACCCGCCACACCGTATTGAGGTTAATGATGTCCGACCTTGAGACCGGTGCGCGCCTTATCAATGTAGCGCAGTTCCGGTATCCCTAGATTTTAGGTTCTTTTCAAAAATGAATAAAAACAAAGCCGATTTATCTCTGTGATAAGGGATTGTTTCCAATCTTTGCTAAATTCCTGCCTGATCACTCTCGTCAACAGCAGTAGCTGTACTGATCCTTATTGGGACAGAATCAGTTATTATATATATATATCAATATCGTTTTTACGAGCTAGTATAAACCAATTTGATTTCTTTGCGCTCGCCTCTTGATTGTGAGGTAGAGGTTCCTGATCTTTGGTAAACGTCTGTGTAGCTCGTCCCGCCACTCGACTGTCGTAGCTTTGGTTGACTCCAACAGGAGTAGTGCTGGGATTAATTATATGGCGTCTGTAGTATGAAGTGTGTTAAGACTGTTACTACTGTGAATGGAGTTGATCCTTTCACCAGTTAGTCTTTCGGTATCGTCGTCAATGGAAAAGAGATAATAATGATAATAATAATAATAATAGATGTAATTAGTAAAGGTATTCAGACTAACAGACAGAGAAAAAATAAGAAAACGTAACAACAGTCAGTCAACCGGTATACATATATATATACATATATATATATATACCAGTAATAATGATAATAATAATAAGTGTAGTTAAAGCTGTCAGGAGAGTAAGACTGAAGGGAATGTGAAGAAGTAAAACGACCAGTTTAATTGTCTACCTTTGAATGGTATATGCGATTTTAAGGGGATAGGCCATTTGGATACAGTCCTTGTGTCGCTGCAAGGTTGTCCAGCCTTCGCTTAAAGGCGTCCACAGATGGTGCCATAGCTACATCTGCCGGTAAGGAATTCCAGGGACGGCAAACCCGCAGGGAAAAGAAGTGGGAGCGCACCCGGGTCCTTGCCCTCTGATGAGCTATCCTTCTGGGATTTCCACGAGGGAGCCTATACCTACTCAATGGCAGAACACCTTTGTTCGGGTGATTCTGATCATTTGTTATTTTGTAGGCAGTAATTAAATCCCCCCTCAGGCGACGGTAACTGAGTGTGAATAGGCCTAATTTCTTCAGCCTTTCGTCATATGGCTTATTTCGGAGACCAACCACTCCTTTTGTTGCCCGTCGTTGAGCTCTTTCCAAGAGGTTGGCGTCTCTTTTAAGCAGTGGGGGTGCAATGATATTATGCACTTCAAGATGCGGTCTGACGTATGTTTTATACAACCTTAGAAAGAGCTCAGGAGTGAGTGCACCTAATTGTCTATGTGTAAAGTGTATGACCGCATATGCCCTCGCTACATCCCCCGTGTAATTCACGCTTGTGTCCATTTTCTCCGTTAGAACTAGACCTAAGTCACGTTCCGACGTTGAGCAGGACAAGCTTTCATTGCACAGGGTGTAACTTGCATTCTGCAGTCTACAGGTGCGTAACTTCACTACTTTGCACTTTTTCAGGTTGAAAGTCATTCCACTGGTTACCGCCCAGTCTTCCAGAAGCCTTAGATCTGCCTGCAGCCTATCTGAGTCCTCCGGACACTTTACCACCCTCCATATCTTTACGTCATCAGCGTATAGAAGAGTCGGGCAGCTTAGACGGCATGGTAAATCATTGATAAAAATCAAGAACATCAGTGGTCCCAGGATAGAACCCTGCGACACTCCTGATGACGAGCTGTGCCAAGATGATCGGACTCGATTGACCTTGGTGCAAAATTGCCTTTCAGTTAGGTAGTCCTTCAACCATGACAGAAGTGGTTTACCTAGACCTACCTGGCTTATTTTGCGTAGGAGAATGTCATGGTGAACAGTGTCAAATGCCTTCTCAAAGTCTAGAAAGATCACATGGACAGGAACATTCATATCCCAGCATGATGTCCAATCGTCCCAAGCTGACAATAAGTTAGTGACGCAGGATCTTCCTTTCCTGAAACCGTGTTGGGCTTCATGGAGTATTTTAGACCTATCCAGATATTCCCTTTTTTTTTTTTTTCCCTTTTAAGGAATTTTGGGGCCCAAATTGCCATGGTGATGTGATCATCAATAATACTTTCCAGTACTTTCGATACCACTGGGAGTAGAGCTACTGGTCTATAACTGGTGGGATTTTGCCTATCCCCACCCTTGAAGATCGGAGAAAGGATGCTTCTTTTCCATTCCTTTGGCAGTTTCCCCGATTCCATGGAGTGTTGGAACAAGTCGCATAAAGGCCTGCAGAGAGCTTCGGCGCACTGTTTCAGAACAGATGGCCTGATGTCATCACAACCTGGGGACTTCCCAGGTATAAGTCGCTGCAGCTTCCTCAGTACTATTGCAGGGTTTATTTGAGGAGTGGCTATTTGGTCTTCCTCCTGTGAAATAGTCATGCCACCATTTTGGTTCGTAACGGTAATACCCACATTGCTGTTTAGCTGTTTGGCGAAGGCTAAACTGAATGTTTCAGCCATCTCCAGACTAGTGAGATATTGACCGTTTTGGCCTACTAAGGCGCAAGCCCCTTGGTTGGTTGGTTTCCTTTCCGACATGAATCGGTACAAATTCTTCGGGTTTGCCAGGAGTTTTTTAGCAAGGTTAGCCTGGAATGACCTTCTGTCCCTCCTGACTCTTGCATTGCACCGGTTCCTGAGTTCCAGGTATGCATCATGGTCGATCTGGCTTCTAGATACGCGCCACGTAAACCAAGCCTTCCTCTTTGCTTGCAGAATACGCTGCGTGCCTCTCTTTAACCATGATGATTTTCTTTTTGGCTGTGCTGTGACTAAAGGGACGGTATCCGAGATCGCTGTATGAATAATCTTTTTTACCGCTTCCCAGTGTTCATCCACAGACAGCTCATCCCATGCTAAGGGCCAGTCTGCATCGAACAAGAGCCTCCGCATTTCAGCGTAGTCAGCCTTGCTGTAACACAGACATGGTTGCGTAGCGTCCCACTGCAAGTGCTCACGGAGAACGAGGTCGAAACCTATGACTGCATGGTCACTACTTCCTAGAGGAGTCATGACCTGGACCTTTTCGACGAGTAGTTGGTCACTAGTTAGAATGTAGTCTAGTTTTGATGACTTTCCACTAGGGCCCCACCTAGTGTCGTCTCCAACATTCTCAGTCAGTCCCGTGTCCCGAATAGCTTGCAGTAGATTTCGGCCGAATTTTCCCTTAGCATACCCCGAGCCAAGGTTCAGTGATGGGGCATTGAAATCTCCAGCAATGGTGATTTGGTCATAGCCCAAGTCTCGTATCCCTGTGATAGTGCTGAGCAGTAGCTGATTGTGCTCTGCCCCACAGGTGGGAGATCGGTAGATGCCACCAAGTAAATGCTTGGTGTGGCCTACGGTGAAATGACACCATATGGAGTCTGGGAGTTCAATAAGTGGTGGGTCCGTTGCGCGAACACATTTAAGTTGCCTATCAAAGTATATGGCAACTCCCCCTCCTTCCTTATTATCCCTGTCTCTCCTGACCAAAACCATATCACCTATACTGATTTCATTATCGGCGATAGTGGGGGTTAGCCATGTTTCGGTGAGAATGATTATTTTCAGTTGTAGGTGTGCTTGGAGATTTCGGAGTTCACCTATTTTTACTCTCAGCCCCCTCACATTGCTATACAGGCAGCTGACAGTGAGTCTTACAACCTCAGCGTGTTGTGGGGTAGTTGACGTGAAGCTATCTGCTGGTAGGGAACTTAGTGTTGGGACTAATTGGCCAGTTCCGATGGAACCGGCCCATTGTGGTTTTTTCCCTTGGATTTAGGCAGGACACTTGGGTGGCACAGACTGTTATTCTCAGAAGTGCATCGCTCGAGTGTCACTGAAGCTTGGGGACGTATTAAAGCCTCAGTTTGCTGCCTCCTTATGGTTCGAGGTCTGCTTTCGCAACATCGGATGTTTCCTCCCATTTTCCCCTTGATCTCATACCACCGTTGAAGTGTTATGGCCAACTGCTCTGGGGAGTTGAATGTGACACTAAGCAGCTTTGGGGAGCTAATCAGTGTGAGATGAGCGGGGCGAGGTAGTCAGTAAACGGAGATGGTTCCAGAAGCGCCAAGGGCCATCTGAGACGACAGCCATCTCCACTGCTGTACGTCATGCATGTGTTTTTCACAGGCAGTGCCCGTTTCCAGCTCCGGGACACCGTGCACTACCATAGAGGTGGAAGGCAAAAGTTCCGGTGACTCCCTTGCCATTTGTCTGACAGCCCATGGTCTGTCTTGTCTCACCCTTATGTTAGAGCTTCTGTCGATGGCTAGTACCTGAGCCATCAATAGTACCTTTTCGGCCTCTTCGGCAGAGTCCAGTGTAACCCGTAATGGGGGTGGCTTACCTTGAGGTGTGTGGACACCCCTGTACAGCCTGCACAATTTCACTGAACTAATATTCAGACCTAGTTTATTGCACAGGTTGGACCACTGTTCCTGATCAAACAGGGCCCGCTGTTCAAGCAAGCTGTCCTTGCTCACAGGTACGTTAAAGAGGATGAGCGAATTAGACCGATTAACCTCAGACTTAGGTTTGGCCTTTGGCTTCTCATACTCCTTTGCAGCATCAGCAACTTTAGGCTTCATCGGGTTCTGGCCAGCCTTTATTGTGTTACCAAGCTTGCTTGTGGATGCAAGTGGTGCTTCTCTAACTCTATCTTTCCTTAATGTTTTAGGTCCAACCTTGTGAATCTTCACCTTGTGAAAATTGGCATTTTCGGTCAGTAGGACTGGAGTGTCCTTCTTACTGTCTGTGCCAAGTTTTGGCAATGTGATGTTAGCAGGTGGGGAGCTACATAAGACCGTGTTGGGACACAAGGGCGGCGTGAAGTTTCTGCTAACCGCAGACACGCTCTGTGTGACTACACCGGGGCGACAGAGTGGACAGATGTACCAAAACCACGGGCACGGGTTATTTCTCATAAACTCGTAGTATGATTTCGGTACCTCTTTGTCGCAACGGCAGTGCACCCACCGTTTGCAAAAATTGCATTCGAAAGCTGAGTCAGCTTTAGAAACAATGATATTGCACGCCTGGCATTCGTCTCCCTTACTTGGTGACGC